TTATTTTAAGAAAAAAACATTGAAAACGACAAAGCACATGAACATACATGTACAAAACTAATTTAAGTGTCTGACCTGCATATTGTTGAGAGAAAAAAAACAATTGTACTTAGTACTACTGACAATAAACCAGACACAATTATAAAATATTCCATTCTTTAAAACATTGATGATGCTTAATGCATTTAAGGAAAATGTGTGAAAATTACATTAAGCATTAAAATCAACAGATTAAAAATTAATAAATCACACAAAGCACAACATACAATAATACGTACAATAATAATTTAAACGTCTGAATTGCGTATTGTTGGAAAAATAAATATTTGTAACCATTAGCCGACTCAGAAACAACCCAACTTTAAAATATTACAAATTCTGGTGTCAAATGCTCAACAATGTCTGAATTCACATGTTCAAATGCAATTCATCTTTATTTCTATTGCACTTTTACAATGTAGATCAATGATGTCAAAGCAGCTTAACATAGAAGTTCTTGTAAATTGAAGCTGCTTCAGTCCAGTTTTCAGAGTTGAAGTTGTAAATGTCACTGCTGAAATTCCAAACACTGAAGAGCAAATCCACCGATCCACCAATCGAAGCCGAGCGAGCCAGTGGCGACAGTGGCATGGAACAAACTTCACCAACTGACAAAAGTGTAGAATAAAAGCTCTTGAGAGATACCAGGCTCAGTTGGCCCCGACCAGTTCTCCTCTAGCCAAACTTGTGCAAAGCCGCAGTCTGGGCACCAGAGACTTGTAAGGTCAACGGCAGGTGGTCAGGCTGGCCCACTGGATCAATGAGGAAACTCATCGATCACGTGTGTCTTTCAGGAATCAGTCTCTCACTCTCCACTCCTCCATGACCACCACAGCATCTGGTCAGGATCTGGTCAGGATTTGGCCCAGTCCAGGATTATGGAGACCTCTGGATAAGGAAAACAGACTAACATAAGCATAGAGGAAGCTTGTTTAAAAAAATAAATCATATACTGGTTAGTTATTTTGAAGCATGGCAGCTGGGTTGGGCTAGTTTTCAGCTGGTACTGAGCAACTGGCTCCTGCTCATAACCAGCTCACTACCATGTTTAAAAGATAACTAACCAGAATGTCCTGTTTATTTTTTCCCCAACAAGGTTTTACAAAAACATTGTAGCATTTGTGATGGGGTGATTCACTGCAGGACAGAAAAGATTATTTGTTTTAGGTATTCTTAATAAACTAAAACAGACTGAATGCTGACACAACTATTGAGAGTGTCTCACCTAATCCAAGTTCTCAGTTAGCTGGTGAAAGAAGGAAAACACTCTGTTGTTCATGGTTGTCATTCTCGTCATAACTTCTGCTGCCTTCTTCTGGCTCACTCTGGTTGTTGCTGTGCATTTTGTTTCATCCTCTGGATTTATTTATACAAAACAATATTTAGGCAACATGAAATGGGGAAAAAGACATTTAATACATAAACAAATGCCTGTATCCCAATACTAAATATTGTATTACAAAATGTCTGACCCATGACAGACCCCAATCTGCTCAAAAATATTATAAACAAAGATTTAAAAAACTTACCAAATGGTTTGGTAAAAATGGAAACAAATCTTTAATTTAGGTAGCAACTAAACATGTGACACATTTTGTATTAAAAGTAACTATACTATATTGAGAAACAAATAGATGTACAGTACTTACTGTTGTATGAGTTCCAGTTTGCACAGGCAGGCTCCCAGTATTCTATATTGAGATGTGATAAAGAAAAAAAGTCTTCATGTGTATATGTATGTCAATATCAATTTACAAAATAAAGTATCTGTCTGAAACCCAACAAAACAAATATAAACAATAATTAGCAAAAAGGTGGTTATCTGCATATTTTATAGAAGTAAAGTTGGTTTTATATTCGCAGATTCAGACTTTCCCCTTAATAATATAATTTCATAAATGTATTATTTGCAAACTTTAAATAGCGAAATCATATTAGCAGCCAATGACTATCAAAGTACAACATTTCTGGCCGTGAGGTTCGCATCTCGAATGGCTCTGGCTTTATAATAAGTAGTGATGGCCTGATAGTGACAAATGCCCATGTGGTCGCCAACAAGCGTGGTGTTCGTGTCAAACTGACCAATGGTGAGACTTACAGCGCCACAGTCCAGGATGTGGACCAGGCTGCAGACATCGCCACCATCAAAATCAATGTTAAGGTACAGATGGAACTTTGAGGTTGTACTGTTAACATATGTAATCTTTTGGGTATATTTAATTTTTTAATTAGGGCTGCACCGATCCTGATACTAGGATTGGATATCGGTTCAATACTGCATATTTTTTCTGGATCGGGTATCAGCCAGCAGGTACCGATCCAAATCCCATCTTGCACGTGCTCTATATTCTGTGTAATTTATAAGCAAACAAAAGCCAGAAAGGTAGCCTTTTATAAGACAGTAGAAAGTTGTCTTGTAGGCCTACTGTATCCCAAATGTTTTGAAGCCATTCTATAGTTTAATGTGAAGTGCAGATCAATATTCACATGCTTAAATTCATGTTCAGTTCTGCGCTCCCCTCCGCTGCGCCTGTCAATCATTCTCCGTTTATTTACAATTCAAACTGCGTGTCACGTTCATGACAACATGAAAAACTTTCTCCAACACTATTTGTTCCTGTTAATTTAAATAAATATTAATTTATTATATTACAATATATTCATTTATTATAATGTAATATATATTATATTGGTTCATTTCGACCTGAAACGACGAGTTCATTTCTGTTTCTAAATCATGTAGCTGTTAGATCAGCAGATCGCATTCGCAACACTGGAACTGAGTGGGTTATTACCTGCTCTTCACACACAAAGTAGGCCTACCTGAAATTTAAAACTAGAAAAGGCTCAATAATACATTGGACAGATCCTTAACGCACTGATTTCTTCCCTTTTTACTGCTGTTTTGGATTGGAAGTGTCCGCAGATAACGGAGGACTGCGCGCTGTCTTAGTGATGCATCAAGCACTTCATTCACACATAAATCAACACACAAAGTTTTTGATTAAATTAATAAAAGTGAAACTGACAGGCACAATATTGATTGTCATTAACAGAAAATAATTTAGCCTAATCCCGGCTGCTCTGAAAACTGTGAATATTTGACTGTAATTTTATTTATATCAATAGTTTATTTAACAGGCCAGTTTGTGTTTTGATTAGGGTCAATAGTGGTAGCCTGTTTCAGAGTTCAAAGAAAAATCTTACTATTAAAAAGAAATATAAGCTGGACCACATCACCATAGAAACTGTATTATGCTTAAAAAAATGGCACAGTATCAGGATCGGATCTGTATTGGTCGATACTCAGAATTTTGGGATCGAAATCGAATCAGTTCCAAAAAGATGGTATCGGTGCATCATTATTTTTATTGAGTCATAGTTTAATATGGTAAGAACAAGGACTTATTTTATTTTGTTAATTTACATTTTTAGTAAAAGGTCTTTATCAAATGAGTAATTTCTTTTTGAATTTTGTTCATTTAAGAATTAAACCTAAAGAATCAAAATTGTGTCACTGTTAGTACATTAAAAGTGTGAGGTCTGATTTGATTTTTAATGTTTTTTTTATGGCTCTACATTAACTTTTTTGATCACCACCCTATATGGCTAGTAGTTTTTCAACTTTACTAGCCACTCGCCATTTTCACTTTTGTTGTTGGGAAAATATATTTGCAAAATTACTTGATTTAGATGTGTTGTGTATGACTTTGCTCAATGAGCATGAGCGGTAGTGGTTTCATGGTGTTGCTTTGTAATTATTTCAGGGCTCAACATTAAGGTTGTACCAATTTTTTCTCTGACCACACTGGAAAATAAATAAATAAATAAATAAATAAATATTTCTTAGCCAAAAATGTTAAATAATTTAAAATTTTCAAAAACTAGCAAAATATATGTTATAATATGCACACACTTTTTATTAAATAAAACTTAAATAACAATTATTGTCATGTAGCCTGTCTAAAACTATGAAAAGTAGTTTGTCCTTGCTCCGAGACCAAGGTCTCAGATCAGCAGTTAACTATACATAAAAGTTAATCTATTAAATCAATATTACTTTAAAGAATGATAATTAAACCATATTAACAAAAAGAAAGCAGGTGAAAAACATACCGTGTGCAATAATGAAAGGATGATCAAACGCACACGGTTAACATTAGGCCCATTAATAATCTGTTCAAAGATTGTTTAAAGCTGAAGCTGCAACTGCTGCTGCATACATAAAATACCTTCTTTTTTTTAAAATCTTGAGCTCTTGAAAATGGTGGATGTTTATCACTTTTTGTCAAGTCTATTTCAAACAGAACCGATCGCAGCATTGTGTTTCCAGTCAAGGTTGCTTCACGCAAGGAAATGGGATCGTGCACGCTTTTAAAAAATTGCGCGCATCACATAACATTCTGTATTTATCTGCTTTCTTTTGCTTGCGTGAACACAGTTGTTTTTGTCAGTCGGGCTGCTTCTCATTTCTAGAGATTCATCCTTATTGTTGAACCCTGCTTAAAAAAAAATACAATTTAAAAAAGATTTTCGACCAGCCAAAGTGGATAGTGGGAGTGGCTGTCTAATTTGCCACAGCTAAAGTCTACCTGCGGTTGGTGGATGTTAATGTCAAGCCCTGATGTTAACCCATTAATCTGATTATAGTGTATTTAGGCTACATACACACTGTAATATTTCAGGAGGAACGGCCGCATACAAATATGGAAATAAACTCGAAATTGTGATAACCTTAGTGACATTTGGTTTTGTATCCTCAAATTTTTAAACGCAGTAGTATTACAGCAACTAAAGAATAATTAGTCAACATTTTTAGTTAAACCAACAGTAACAGAGGAGGCTTTCATGTTTTAAAGGCCATTTTTGCAATTGATTTTTCTCAGTTTTCTTTTACCACAGTTCTAGTACATGGCCATATAGTCTGACATAGTGTCATTGTGTTCTCTGTCTTGTCCCAGAATCCTCTACCAACGTTGCGTCTTGGCAAGTCATCTGATGTGCGTCAAGGTGAATTTGTGGTTGCCATGGGGAGCCCCTTTTCTCTTAAAAACACCATCACATCTGGAATCGTCAGCTCTGCTCAGAGAGGCAGTAAAGAACTGGGTCTTTCCAACTCCAACATGGACTACATCCAGACGGACGCTACCATAGATGTAAGAGCACTGGAAACTGGGTGGTGTTGCATGCAAAAAAAATGTATGTCATCATTTAATGAATTGCATTCCATCACTCAATCACAATTCTGCTTTACAGTTTGGAAATTCAGGAGGGCCTCTCATAAACCTGGTGAGTTGCTGACATTTGCTCAACTGACTGCCTCTGCATTTTGGTTTAAAGGGTCACGAAACACCAAAACACATTTTTGAGTTGTCAATAGTCATATATATGTTCCACGCTACTAAAAACACTCTTAGGACACATATTTAACAATAAAAGTGAAGAATTGTTTGGAGGCATGGGTCGTCAGTGTTGTTTATAAACGTGCCAAAACAAAGGTTTTCTTTTCATTTTCCCGCAGTGAGAAAGGACCCACATTTGTGGACTACAGTGGTCTTCTAACACGCAACCAAAATGTTTGTAAGGAACATTTTTACCCGAGAGCTTTTTGTATGTATAAATGGTGAAATCCAGATTTGCCACTCGTCTTCCTATAAGAAAAATCGCAAATCCAGTTTGCGTTGATTGTCCTGTCTCTACGGATTTGGTAAGTAAGCAATCGGTGTTCGTTGTTATTCAGATGGCGAAGTAGGCCATTAAAACTACACTCTTCTAGCAGTTCCTCGGATCCAATATGTCGTTTGTCATGGGGGGCACTCATGAAATGTTCTTGAATGAAAATGAAAGTGCCAAACTGCAGTTAAAGTCGACAAATTAAGAATGAAACTCCCCAAAATTACATGACACTCCAGAAGAAACGTGGATAGCGTGGTGACACAATGACGTTAATTGTATTGTGCTTTAACATGTAAAACGGGATCATAAAAGGAACATTCTAAAAGCAACTCATGTAAACACCTTAATCATATTGTTGTTTTAATCAGATTAAGGCAAATAGTTAGATTACTGATGTCCACAAAATCATTGCTTTATCTGTTAAACCGACAAGTGAAACACAAACTGTTACTAAATGAAAACAACAGTTTAGAACACGTCTCCTTTATTGCATGACCACCATGGCCGTTCGCTAACAACAACAAAAACTCCCGCTCACACCGGAAGTGACCTTTTAACATAACATAAAAGTCCTACTTCCTTTCTATGTGCAGCATCCACATTTACGGTTGTCATCACCTAGAATTGAACTTAAACTCAATCTCTTCTTTAAAAAAAATGTCTCATGCACTTCCTGAAAAACATTAATACATAAGATAACAGCAAAACATAAGATAACATGACATAAGTTTTAACTTTTAGAATTCAGTACTCCTAACAGGGAGATGCTCTTTTAATAGAGCTTCCATTGTCTTTCACTAAGTGCTTTAAGTAACTGCAGTGCTGTACTCCTTTTTTGGTAAGACAGTCTGCAAGCTGGTCTTTTGTACCCTACCAGAGCACTTGTTTAATTCTTTGTGTTTGAATGAGTTCTTTGATGCTGCTCACTTCCAGACTAAGGCCCCGTTTACACTAGTGCGTTTTAGTTTTAAAACGGCGTTTTAGAATGAAAACGATCCGCGTCCACACTCGCGTTTACCCAGCGTTTCTGAACTGCTCTCCGTCCACACCAAAACGCTGAAAACGCACATCACGTGACCACACACACACTCTTTGGCAATCGCTGGAGCCCATCTACCCAGATGAGAGCTCTGTTAGTCGGACTTCTCATCAAGCATCTCCCGCTGGATCTAATCTCACTATATTTATTAAACGTGATATTTCATTCATCTTGTTGTCTTTATCTAAAGACATATTCCCTGACTTTGGTCATTGGAATCTATTACTTGTTCTCAGGTAACGTGTTTTGGCTGAGCGCAAAGATAAGTTAATGATTAATGTAAGCACGTAGCCTACATTCTGTATATTGACTGATCGCTTGCCTTTATTTCCTATAATGTATAAACTTATTGTATGTTATACTTTTATAATGGCCATTATCGATTATTAAAACTGATATTCAGCAAAAGACAGGGTATGTTTCGTATTTTCACTGAAATTGAAAGGAGGCAGTTGTTATCGGCTCCGTTTTGTTATAAATATGCACACAGTGAAGATGACGCTCATGCAGCACGGCGCCTCAACATTTCTGCTGTCTAAGTTGCTAATATTAAAATGAAAATAGGCAGTTCCTTAAATCAAGTTTACATTTTATTGTTGAGAAAGTGAAACAACGTAGCCAAGGTGATGTGAATGAAGTTATAAAGTGCACTGTTCCCTGTGAAGATTGACGCGTGTCCTCGGTATGTTTTCCATATCAAACTGAGAAGAAGAGACTGCAGCCTTGATCAAACTTGCGAAGTCTGAACTTACACGTAGAAGATTCAGGACTGAACTGTGTGTTAGGCTACTTAATATTGAGGAAAAGCCCCAATCAGAGAGGCGAATGTCTGCAGCCCCGCCTCCGTTTTCAGATGTCTCCGTCTTTCCCCATCCACACTGAGACGGAGCAGCAGCGTTTTAGAATGAAAACGGCCTCTCCAGCGTTTTCGAAACGCTCCGTTTTCGGCGCTCGAGAACTCCGGCGTAGTGTGGACGGATGGCGTAACCGTAGCAAAACTTATGCGTTTTCAAACTAAAACGCATTAGTGTAAACGGGGCCTAAGTCTTTTCTTAGCAACTGACTTGGTGGACTTCAGTGCATCAGTAAGTGAGTGATTGTCTGTAATGCAGATTATTGGTATTGCATTTTCAGTGTCACCAGTAGTCAGCTCAGAGTGCAGTGTCATCAGAAATATTGCATTATCAATTCCATCTGACATTGCTAGTGTTTCAGCAGCAAGTGTACTTCGCACAATTCTCTTTACTCTTTTTGATTGCCAAGAAAGGGGAGAGAACATTCCATTTTGCCCCATAAGAACAATTAGATGTTCTCCTTGACTTCCCCCATCTGAGTGATTTCCAAAAGAGGCATCACTAAATACAGCCATCTTGAGCTCAGAGTCTTTTCCGAGGTATTGGAAGTTCAGCATTACCTTTTTGGATTTAAGTTTACACACAATTCTGTTTGCTTCATGAATAGTTTGTACAGAGGCATTTTTAATGTTTGAAGCTAGGCTGCTGGCATCAAACATGACATCAGGCCTGCTTTGTCTTGCGGCCTAAAGAATTTGGCCGACCTTTGACCTTAGCTGATCCTTTTCCTCTTCATAAAGTAAGGAGTCCTGTTCCACTGATCGTGCAGGATTCAGTTGTTTAGGCTGTATGTTTTGGATGTAGTTTTCCTGATGAACCTGCACTTTATTGGCAATAGTTTCAAAGTTTATTCCCACATAACAGAAGCTGTTGTTCTCCTCACGCCCAACTTGAAACATGGATCTGAGGTGAGGTATTACTGTTGTGGAGAAACTTTGTGTGCCTCCCCATATGAAGTCATCCACATGACAAGCGAGTACACCAGTCAAAGCGCAGTCTTGATCCAGCCAGCAGAACACAGCTGGATCTACTTTTGACATTGTTCCTCCTGACTTCATGACAATCTCCTTCACTCTTTTATACCAGTAAAGTGAAGCATCAGCCAGACCATACACACACTTTTTTAGCTTCGATAGTTTTTTTTTACAGTTTGCCTCGGGAGGGGGTTTGATATAAAGGTCCCGGGACAGTTCCATTCCTTGAAGAAATGCAGCTTTTATGTCCGTAGAATTTAGATTCCACTGTCTTTGACAAATCACTGCCACAAGGAGCCGAAGAGAGTTTGAAGAACATGTTGGAGAGTCCTTTTTTAGTTCTGACATCTCTAGTTCTTCAAAACCTCGTGCTACAAGACGAGCTTTGGGTAAAACCCCATTAGGTGACTCTTTGTAGGTGCATACCCACCTAGTGGAAATGCATTTCTGTCCCTCGTCCTTTACTTCCTCAAAGACGTGGTTATCTATCCAGCTTTTTATCTCATCCTGTTTTGCCGAGTTACAAACACATCCTCACATACATTAGTGGAGTTAGCATTAGCAACAGTGTTTTGAATTTGTAGATTCTCAACCTTTGACATGTCAGCAGATTCTGTGGTACCCGCCACACTAGTGGGCTCAATAAGCAACAGGTTATACCAATTTTTATATTTGCCTGTAGCTTTACCTGCACGCCCCAGGACTTCAGCTGTGTGTAAAACACCCTTTTCTCTATCCCTGTAGTTTACAGTTTGTCCTTTTTGTAGCATGACCACAGTTTCCATACTAGCATCACTCTGTGTTCACTCTGTGGCATCCCTTCATCAAAGGTTGGCGGGACTTTGTAATTGCTAACCATCCTCTGCTACCAATTTGTTACTAAATGAAAACAACAGTTTAGAACACGTCTCCTTTATTGCATAACCACCATGGCCGTTCACTAATAACAACAAAAACTCCCGCTCACACCGGAAGTGACCTTTTAACATAACATAAAAATCCTACTTCCTTTCTATGTGCAGCATCCACATTTACGGTTGTCATCACCTAGAATTGAACTTAACACAAACTACTCTCCTGTCTTCATTTGGAATAAAAATTCCAAGTAACTCAACACAAGCAAAGGCAATTGTAGGCATAATAGTAGGAGTATTAGGGTAGGAGTATTCATAGCCACAGACATGCAACCTTTTTCAGGGGTAGAAAACTCCGGTTTTAGGCATTTAATTAGTGTGCTAGAACCACACTACGAAATCCCAAGTAGAACGTATCTCACAGCTATGGTGGTACCCTCCTTGTACAATAAGGTGAAGGAGAAAGTTATTAGTGCACATTTAGTAGTTGACTACAGATTGCTGGACCTTCAGAGCAATACAGAGCTTCATGACTGTCATATTAAGAACGTAAATTGTTTTCAAATGTTTATCAATATTGTATTGTACTGGCCATACTCTAGCCTTATGTAATAAACTGATGTGTCATGTTTGTACTCTTCAGGATGGTGAGGTCATCGGCATTAATACCATGAAAGTGACAGCAGGGATTTCCTTCGCTATTCCCTCAGACAGAGTCCGTCTCTTCCTTGACCGATCTGCAGACAAACAGAGTAAGAATGACCTCACAGCTGCTTGCTTTTGTCTGTGACATAATTTTTTTTCACTGACAGATGGTTATTGGGTCTTTTTTTCAGAGTCATGGTTTGGAGAATCGGGATCGAAAAGGCGTTACATTGGAGTGATGATGTTGACTTTGACCCCCAGGTGCCAAACACTTTTATTACAATTTTACAGGAGAGCAAAATTCATACATTATGGAATCTACAGATTTTTGTTATATACCACTAGATTTGGCTCTTAGAAATTCAAGTGCTGGAATACCTGGAAAATTGGCTTGTTCTGTTGAAAAGTGCTTAATTTATCAAGGAGAATTTGTATGCAATTTTCACGCCCCAAAAATAAAAATGTTTGTGAATTTTTGTAACAATATAATGCAAAAATACCCGCACAATCTACCGTGATTCCGAAGCAGTGATTTAAATGATATGAGAAGTGGCCAATCACAGTCAACCTTGTTTAGTTTTACCTGAAATGTAAGGGCGGGACAAACGCCTTTCTGTGTTGCAGTGACAAAGAAAAACAACTTAAAACAAATGTTTTATTGGAATAATACTTTTCAGATGTTTTTACTATGTTATTTGCAAGAGTAATTAAACCGCAGACATTGAAGTGTTTTTGGTTGAAGCAAATGTAATATTGATTGTTTTGCTGATCTGTCTATCAAACTATTAATCAATCAATCTATCTATGAATCTATCTATCTATGTTATCTATTTATCAATCAATCCTTAAACTGTAAACATTGCGCTGAAGTGAGTCTTTTATTATCTTTAAATTCTCTTTTTCCCCTCCTCAGTATAATCGAAGAGCTAAGGATGCGAGACCCGTCCTTCCCTGATGTTTTTCATGGAGTTCTCATCCACCGTGTGATTGTAGGATCTCCAGCCAACAGGTGTGCTGCTCTCTGAACATGATGTTATCAGCTGTTGATTAAGGCATCCTTTTGATGATGTCATTTCCTGTTTTCGGTTTTGCAGAGCCGGAATGAAGCCAGGAGATGTTATTATTGAGATCAATGGGGTAAAGGTGAACACGTCGGAGGAGATATATAATGCTGTGAGGACCAGCGAAAGCTTGTCCCGGTGGTGGTCCGCCGGGGGGCCGACCTGCTTATGCTGCACATGACCCCAGAGTCCACAGAGCGACATCAAGTCAAGTATTTAGTAAGATTAAGAAATGGTGAGTAATGAGAAGCTGTCATAGTTGGAGATGTTGTAAGAAAGGAATCATCTAAAGAGTTGAACAGTTTTAGCAAACGCTGGACATTCGTGTAGTAAACGTGTTTCTGGAAGCGTATGAAATAATGTGGATGATTCAGACTTCTGTACACTGGATAAACCTCAGTGTGTCTGTGCAAACTACACTATCAGTATTGATTTGAAGGAATATCACTGAATATTTTGTTTAGGATTGTCATGATGGCAACAAACACTCAACGACCTTAATAAAACTGGGTGCTCTTATTGTGAAAATGCTGATGTTTTGTATTGAGTCTCACATTCTCATGTTACGACGTTTGTATTTTAATACATTTTTCTGAACAGCTCTGATTTCACAATAAACCATTGGAATATTTATGGATGATTTGATGATGTCGCAGTGACTGATATGTTTAGGTTTTGGGTCAGCGCTGTACAGCATTCTGAAAAAGTGTATTTCTAAAAGTGCGCCGTAATGACGCCAGTGTCAACTGCAGTGTGTGTTGGAAAGGACTGGATGCTGTTCAAACCTCATGCCAAATTTTTGTCACCCCAAACAAAACCATTTTAAATCCACACAATCTGACAACACTGGGGCTAGATCACAATATAAGCCACAACACAAGTGAGTTCAATAAAATATATCTTTATTACAGACATGTACAAAAATCAAATATACAAAACATTCTGCTAATGTGACTCAGAACTCCAGCATGGACCAGTCGTGGTAAGGCATCTCTTCTAGAGGAATTCTGCACTCTGGATTCTCATGCAGACAAGCCGTCATCATATCACAGCATTCTGTGAAGAAGAAATGGAGAGGTGAGGTTATTGTTATTATTATTATTAAGCTGTTTCACTTAATTGTTCTTTGATGAACATCTCACCTTGAGAGAGGGTAAATTTGGACCAGTCATGTTGAAGGTAGTACAGGTCATACGCTGATGGGAATTCTCCATGGAGCATTGTGAACAGAAGAACCCCAAGAGAATAGACCGTCGCTGGTTTGGCCCGGTAGCATCCTTTTTCATAAAACTCTGGCGGGATGTACGCTTCTGTGCCTGGAGGAGAGACGTTTAGTTTAGCATCATGTTGAATATATATACCAGATGGGCTTCAGCTGTGCTAATTAACCAGCTTTCAATACGTATATTAATAATGCTTATGCACATTCATAACTAGTGTTGTCAAAAGTATCAACTACCAATCGATACCGACACTCATCACAGTCATATTTGCTGAGCATGTGAACACCAATGGCCAATCAGTGGTGTTTAACAGCGCTCAAATTGACTTGTTAAATGTCAGAATCGATTGGTACCGAAGTCGATACTTTTGACCACACTATTCAAAACACCTACCAGAGAAGAGACTGTAGGCTGATTCCATCATGAAGTCTCCACACCCGAAGTCGATCAGCTTGACTTCCAGTGTGTCGGGGTTCACCAGCAGGTTTTGAAGCTTAATATCCCGGTGGAACACCCCGCGGTAACAGCACACGTTGGCCGCATAAACAGCTTGCCTCATGATGGTATGTGCTGTTTTCTCACTGAGGACTCCTCCGCTGACTTCAAGGAATGCCTCCAGGTCCATGCTTGGACTAGGCCGCTCCATCACCATGACATAATGGTTTTCAAAGACCTGCCAGTCCAGGAGCTTAATAATGTTTGCACACCTGGAGCCACCGCTGGCCATGTTTGCCAAGGTGATCTCTAGAGGAAGTGGCTGGTCACATGACTGAAAACAAAATAATAATGTTGGTTTTCAAACAAGGGTTTCTGACCACAGCCTGTGGTCTATAATAAATATAAGACTTTATAAACTGAACACAGCGAACAGAAAGTGTAGTCTACTCACAGAGCTGACATCTTGCATATTTGGGGTCTTCTGGACAAATTTAACTGCCACCTGTTTAAAGGAACAAGCGAACAATTAACATGTGCACGGAGATCATTTCATTCAGTCATAAATCCTGAACAGAGGATTCATTCGTCAGCAGAAATGTCCAAACAATGAAAGCTCTGATGATGTTCTTTAAACAGGGAACTTCATCAGAGGATTTGAGTCTACAAAAATGAATACCTGCAGACCATCCTGTATGCGAATCCCCTCATACACAGAGCCGAAACCTCCTTCACCAAGCTGCTTTCCGAGTTTGTAGCGGCAGCTGATGTCATCTGTTAAAAATGAAGAAAATGTCATTAAATTATAAACCAAATAAAAACACAAACAGTTGAAGTCAGAATTATTGTCAGATTTCAGAACATGATAGTTTTAATAACTCATTTCTAATAACTGATGTCTTTTATCTTTGTCGTGATGACAGTACATCATATTTACTGGATATTTTCAAGATACCAGTGTTCAGCTTAAAGTTCTGAGTACTTAAACTTTATTGCTCTGCATCATTTGGGAAATATTTAAAAAATATTAATAAAAAATCACAGGAGGGCGAATAATTTTGACTTCAACTGTATAATTTTACAAAGTTTGATGAGCCTAAACAAATGTTCTGAACTCCAGCAATAAACTTACTATTGTCCAAGCAGGTCCCATCATCTGCTGTAGACTTCACAGCAGAGTCCTCTTGTGAGACCTGATCCGGTAAAGGGTTCGAGTTTTCATCCAGGGCAGAGTCACAGATGTCATCTGTTATGAGCTGCTGGCTCACTGGAAGTTCATTGTCCTCATCGGATGGTGAACTTGAAGGACTATCAAGCTCTTGCTCCAGGCTGTCCTCACTGAGGGAGGATTCGTTGTCTGCTGGGAAGTGAAGCTCTGCAGAGTCGTTCTCAATGACCACTGCAGAGTCAAAGCTGTTCACTTCCGGTTTACAGTCAAAATCTTCGTCTTCTGGAGCATCAAGAGCTGGAGGTTGGAGAACTTCCAGCTCCAGGTTGCTCACAGCAGTGCAGAAGAATTTAGAGCTACTGATGGGCTCTGCGTGAAGTTCGTGGATCTCCTGCACACATAGCTGATCTAAAGAGAGGAAGGAACATCATTAATATGACTCTACAACTCTTTTTGACAAGATATTTGAACAGTTCATTTGCAGAAACATTACTCAATGTGTTTTTATTGATGATCTTCATGGGTTTTCTGCATTGAATTAGCAAACAAGTAAACTATATATCTAAAGGCAAAGCTCACTGAAATAAAAAATCCTAATACAAATAATTCTTATTTTTTCTGTTTTTTACACAAAACTACAAATTCTGAAGAAAATTCCTGAAATCAGCAGCCATTAACCTTCATTGTAGGAACACAAAATACTGTGGAAGTCAATGGCTGAAAGCACCTCAAACAGGTTTAAGGAGTAAATTATGACAGAATTGTCTTGTTTATGTGAACTGTGGCTTTAAGAAACTCTTTCTAAAATGTCTTCCAGTAATGTTCATTTCTGATCTTTAAACACTTATGTGATGTGTTTGGTGTGTTTAACAGTATGCTTTAGTAATTAAAAGTGCTCATAAATCTATTTTACCAACAACAGTAGCTCTTCTTCTGGAAAAACAGGCGAAGAAGATGGGAGACAATTTGAGTTTCCTCTTTTTCTGTCTCCCTGCCTGTTTTCCTGCAGCGACGGCCGGGTCATCGGTCATCAGATGACGGCGATTCTCTGTCGTGCTGCCGGTGGGTTCGAGTGGCTCACACGGTTGTTCGTTCGCACACTTAACACCAAACGCTTTCTTCAGACGGTTAATCAGTTTTGAAAATGCCATTTTATCACTGTACTGTTGAATCGCAGAAAGTACTGAACTACTAGACATCCAAAGAAGCTAATGAGAGTTTCTGCTACGTCAAAAGCTTTTTACTGTCACCGATGATGTCAGAGTTCCACAATTCCATTTGGTATTACGTAGAGACTTTTTAAAACACAACAAACTTCTAATGCAGGCCCGCGCTAGACTGACTGGCTCATTCGCCTTAATGTGCTCACACAGCCACCTGCTTATACACATTTTTTCCAATTATTAATTTATTTATTTTTGCACTTAGGCCTATGTATTTTTTTCTGTCATGCACAACTTTTTCTGCGTTTTGCTTTTTATTACAATTATTACCATGTTTATGGTGTGTGTGTGTGTGTGTGTGTGTGTGTGTGTGTGTGTGTGTGTGTTTGTGTGATTCATTTATTTTGAGTAGCACATTTCAGTTATTTTATATTTTCATTATCAATTATTTATCATTTTTAACAGTATTATTATTATAATTTATATTATATTTTATATATTATGATTATATAAACTCGTTATTCTTTTGAATTCTTTTTAAATGAATAATACTTCAAAATAATAAATTAAAAAGAAAAAATATGCAACAAAATGAAGTTATCCATGTATTACCTGAAACCGCCAGTAGGTGGTGGTAGGACACTGTCTTAAGTGAATAAGACATTTATTCAGCAACAAAGCAACTGTTGTATTTATGAATAGGTCAAGGATGAATCGACTCTCACAATTCATTTAAATCCACAGATTCATTCACAAAAAATAACCCACTCTAGCCTAAATAAGGACTGAACCGATGTGAACGCTAACAGGTAGGAATAATGATCAGATTCTTGTGGATTAAACATCTTTGTTGACATCAATTGCAGTAGATTTTATTAAGTTACAACAAAAGGTAGGAAATGGTTTTAATTGCGAACTGTATTTATTTTATTGTGTGAACATGCTACATGCTAACACCGTCACAGCATTCCAGTCAACTAATTTAGAGCTACTAACGTTAGTCAACAGTCCCCGCCTTCACTAAGTGAAAAATGCGAATTAAAAAGAAAAAATAACATAAATAAAATAAATAATTACAAATTAAACCAATGAATATTAAAGTCAGTGTAATTAGATCTAACGTTTATTACTGTATGTCACAGGCTAGTAGCGCTAATTAGCATTTGATGCTAATGCTAACATTGATGCAACTTAACTAATGTAAATATTAATGTTATATTAACGGTACTGTAACGTTAAACTAATTATTGTTTTACTTAAAAGCTT